GCTTGTGTACATGATTTCAATTGCATACAGTTAATTTTTTCATACATCACAATGATCTTTGATTTCTAGTCCAATTTCTTTCTTACTAAGTCATTTCTGCTGGTAGGTTTTTTTTATGTTTTGTGTTTTTTCACGAGTTTTCCACTTGACCAGACAATCTTCACTGCAGAGTTTTTACTCAAGATTTTTGAAACATCTACGACCTGATCTACGTCGTAAAGTAAGCATGGCTGAGAGAATCGACTGTGTCTCCATAAGTTGCCATTATCGGTTCAATGTTTCATTTCCTTGTTCCACTTCACCTTCTCAGCGGCTAACCCTGTTTTCCTCCTGTTCAGCGGTAGCTACAACTCTAACTTGTTTTGGTCCAAAAATATTCCTTTCAAGCTGCTCGGCTTGTGCGATAGTTTTCCTAAACAACAACTGAATGAAAGCTACGCGGAAATATCTTATTCTAACAGCGTAAATCAGTGGATTAAACAACGAATTCAGTACGGGCAATAAAGTAAGAAGATGATACATTGTATTTTTTACATTAAGAGCGATGCTGTCTTTCAAAAACGATATCAAAATGACAACAATGATATTTGCCGGGAAATAACATAAGAAAATTGCGAGCAGTACCATAATTGTGCAGTAAAAAGCTTTCTTATTCTTGAGTAACTTCTCCTTCGCTTCTAAGGAAACTTGATTAGCAATAATTTGTTTCTCGTTGCGGCGGACCTCCCTGAATATAGAAACGTTCAAATAACCGACTAACGCAATAGAGATTAACTGCATAGTAACCATTAATAATATTCCCACATATTGAATGTTTGGTGGCCAGAAGTCTTCAGTCGGAATGGCGATCGCTACAGCCCACGCCAGACCAGTGGCTACGATGATACGAACTTCACTAACAAGGTTTTCATATGCGAAAGGGTGTTTTATAGCCAGATAACGCTCTGCACTCAATAAAACGAAAATATTAAGCGAAGTTATGATACACCTTGTGGTAATGGCTACTCTTATTGCGGCAAGCGTGCTGCAAAATATGCCAGTCTCACCTTTGAGCATAAAGCTATGGTGAACGATTTGCAAAGGTTGAACAACAAGTCCAACAACAAGGTCAGTTGTGGCTAAACAGGCAAGTGATACGTTAGATTTGGTGCGAAGTCGACGATTGGTTTTCACTGCCACCATCACCAAGATGTTCAGCAAAATGACGAAAGGACAGCTTACAGCGTTAGCGGCGATTCTGAAGATGAGTACAGCGCGAAGCTCAGGAGAAAGTCTCTCGGCAATCGGTAAAGGAAAATATGGGACTGAACCACAACTGGCTGATGTGGTGTTGATTGTGGTGTAATTCATGTTTTCTGGATCAACTCAAACGTTTTTGGTGTTGCTCCAAAAATGGGAAACCGTTGGTGTGGACAGTTTGGCGGCTAATTTGTTGTGTTTTAAATAAATTCAATTTATGATTTATCTACTAGAATTTACATCTGCATGACGATAAGTAAACTATTGTAGCGTATTTTGAAGTTGCTTGTAAGTATTAACATTAACTTCAAGTATTACTGGTCTCCAAAAACCGGAATAATTCCAATTGAATATACAAGTGAAGCCAGGCAATTTAACAAAGATATTCTTTTCACGTGTAAATCTTATGTTGGTGAGATCCTGTCATAAGCATTATGGCTCAACGGAAATTCGGCTCAAACGGAAATTTCCATGGGTTTTCATAGGACCAGTCATATAGTAAGGATGATATTTGTATGTAATTTCGTGCCGAGAGATTTAATTTGCACCTACATTTTCCAATTTCTCTTATCTTTTTGAACAAATGTCTGGCAAACAATTATTCTTTGTTGTATGTTATTGGTTCCCACGGTGTGTCCATGCCCAACATATGCAATTCCGTTAACCAAGGCTTCTTTAACTGAAAATCAATTATTTTATACAGTAAAATTTCACAAGGATCTTTTCTTTAGACCCACAGTAATTACCAACGCTGTAACACCGAAATTTGATTTAAATGTAACCTTGCGCGGCATTTACGTCACTGTTTCATGACGGACGCCTGAACTATTGAGATGAACACTTTCCCCGACAAACAAATGAACCGTCAGTTACAAGCAGCCATTAACTCTAGTCTTTCGCTGATCGACAAATTAACCAGAAGTTTTAACCACCATTTGTTTGAAATAATAGTTTTATTTTTGAACTAACAGTTTCATTTTAGTACAACACTGACATTTGTATGACACTTTTTTCTATAGGGATGTCAAACAATATATGTCCCTGCAAAACAGTGGAATTGCGATGGGAAGTTAACATATGATCAACCAACTCCTAATCTGCATAATCTGGTCCACCACTATAACGCGTAACTTGCTTACGCAATTCACGGGTTAAAAAAGGAAGCCGAAATGACACGCTTTAAAGGATGAGAAACATCAGATGAATAAACGAACTTCAAAAGGTAACGTGTTGCAAAAACTGTGATATATACATGTTCAACATACAAAATTCTCTTTTATAGAGAAAGAATATAGAAGTGAAAATTACCTTTTTCCAAATATGTTACAAAAGCTTATTTGCTTTTATATAAATGTTAATTCTAGTCGATTAATTAATCACAAACTCATTAACGTGAAATACAGCTATTCCGCTGCTAACCGCTCAATTAATGCTTTTCAAACAAAGGAAGCTGAAGCGAGCAAATTTATTTTCGTCATCAAAAACTGAAAGCTTCGGCATTCACTTGTAGTTAGTTGATAGAGTCTGGTCCGAGAGAATCTGGAGAAATGCTTTTCGTGCCTAAACCATAGCTAACTCCAAATTAACATTTAACCTCGAAAATGCTCTAAATA